AGCAGGCAATTACAAATCAAACATTTTTACTACGCTGCCTAAAGATGCCTTTCAAGTTATTACAGTACTGGGCTTCATTTAGAAGAAAGATTCTTTCAGGCTGATAAAACTCGATTTGTGTTGCTGGGAATAAAAGGGGCAGCCTGGCTGGATACAACAGGAAAAATGAACCATTTATAGTCTAGAAGAATGTTCAACAGAATGTCGCATTCAATTCTTGACATTCACTTAATAAGAAACAGTTCCAGTTGTTAAAGGCATGGAGGCTCCGATACATGTGGAAAATGTTAAAACTGTGTGTGTGTGATGGTTTTTTGGGTGGGTATCAGAATATTTGATAACATCTGACTGGTGTTAGAAGTAGCAAAAGCCACAGAGATTATGCCCTGTGTGGAATGCAAAATACTGTTTTTAGTTGTGTCAATAGTCAGACAGCACTTAAGTGCATTCAGTTTGCTTTCATTGATCTTTTTGGTTTCTTCACAGAGAACGTGCCAATTACATTTGAAAGATAATTATCCTGGTATGCTTTCAAAATTATTTTAGATTTGCTGGAAGCGCATCGAATGAGTTTAGAGAACAGCTCTCTACAGAAGAGTTCTTGATTAAGCTCAAATAAAATCAATTAAGCAAGTCATTGAAAAATAATCCTACAAATACATTGGTTTATAAAATCATGCATAATACTGCAGATGCCTGTTCATAGTGAATTTCCTTAATTATAATTACTAAGCATGATTTGCTTTCTGTGGAAGACTGAGCAGATTTGGGATTTTTAAGGCCTATTTGGACATTGATTAGCGAAGTTAGGTTCAGGATAGCTTGTGCAGTCTAGATAGTAACATTTATATTGCAATGCTATTTGGTATTTCTGGTTATCCTTTCTATTTTTTAATGAACTGATGCTAACAGAATAGAAAATTGAGAAATTTACTAGTATATCAGGTCATGTGTAATACCTTTTCATTCACTTTTTTTATACGTCACCTTTCAACCACAAGTATTTTAATTTGTTTCTGTGTGTGTGCACACGCGTGTGTGTGTGTTGATTTTGGAGTGATGCCCAGAGTTTCCCAACTCACATTTGAGGACTGTACTGGTTAGGTGCTATACAAACACAACTGCTGTTCTTGTGAGGTTGTATTAATAGTCTTACACCTGTAAAGCCAAATTTCTTGTTATGATTCTGGTTATACAAGACTGAGAGTGAAGCAAAATATGATTTTGGAAATTCCCCATTACTGAAATAAGTTTCTTAAAAATATTATTTATGTTTATATATTTATTTTTATTTGGCTATCTTGTGGACAATGCAGGGGATGAAGAGCAATTCTTTAGCAGAGTTGGTCATGTTTAGTTTAGTTGAGACAAAAATGATTAGTCTTTGGGTAAAGTTCAAGAAATTGAGTTGAATTTAGAATTAAGTGGTTTATCTCCAGTGTTAATATGAAAGGAGGAGGATTTTCCTATCTGCATGATCAAGGGATTGAAAGAATAGTAAGGTTGCAGTGGTGGGGAAGAAAGCAGGTAGAAGACTTGAAGAGACTTACCTATAAGGCTGTGGGATCTTGGGATTTGGGATTAATATGAACTGCAGGACTCGGACCACATTTCAATCTGAGCGCACTTTTTGCCTCATTAACTTTTCCCATATTGCTGCAAGTTGAGTTTGAGTTTTTATTCAGCTTGAAGAGTTACAGATAGGATGATTTTTCCTTCTGTTATTTTTTTAATTGCTGAATTGGAGGAATGAAGTAGTAGACTTCCTATTTTGGCTTTGTGTGTTTAATATGCTTCATGTATGTCAAGGGAATAATTAATTGCTGATATGGTGAAAGATTAGGCTCATAAGTAGTTATGCATGTCTTTGTAATTACTTCTAGATTTAGAAATAATGACACTTAAAAGACAAAGCCAGCTAGTACGTGCCTGGTGTGTTGCAGGAGGAAAGGATCCTCTCTGCCTCACATTGTGATTTGTCATACAGAGAATGAAAGATTGCAGACAGAAACCTAGCTGTACTCATGCCCTCAGCATCTGCAAATACAACTGAGAGAAGGCTGACAAAACTAAGGATTAAGTAATTGAGGAGAGTGCAAATTCAATCCCTGACGAGGGTGGCACGGTGATGTACTTCCCTGTAAGTCCAGGCGTTATTGCTGTTTTACTCCAAGCTCTGAAGGCTCTCAGAGATCTTGTCAAAATGATGTCTCAGGTAAATCCAAAGAAATATTCTGAGGCAATGCTGTTGTCAACCTACATGCACATTAGTCAGTGATGGAAAAAATTCTTTAAAATATTGTTTGTGAGGATTTTCTGCTAAATGTGAGACACTAAATAAAGAAACTTTTCATTCTCATCTTATACAGGTATTTATCTGTCAGACTTGACGTATATTGACTCTGCGTACCCATCAACAGGGAGCATTCTGGAAAGTGAGCAAAGAACAAATTTAATGAACAACATTCTTCGAATTATCTCAGATTTACAGCAGTCATGTGAATATGGTAAGCTAGCATGAAAATACTGAAATACTAAAAAGAACTATCTGAAAAGCTTTAATGTTTCTCTTCTGTAATGCAACGTAAGTAAGGCCCAACCCATCCAAATGCCATTAATGGTCTCCCTCACCCTCTCAGCCCAAAAGTATTAAGTTTATTCTGGTATTGTTTATGACAGAGCATCAGCGTGAGCAGAGAGAATAAGATTGACCTTTTCTTACATCACACACATTTTCTTAGTACATATTTTCTCATGAAAAATTTGGAATACATTGTACTTAACAGTAGTTTTATTAATACATTATAAATTTGTATCCTTGTGTTTCATAATTTTATGACTATGAATTCTAAAAATAGTAGGATCACTTTTGGAATAGTACTTTTACTGGAGATATAAAATACATTCAGCTTGTCTTTTGGACATTTATAGTTCTGTTCATAGATCAGATAATGTATTATTTTCTTCAAAGGTGGTTTCCCTCACAGTCCTCTTCAAGTCCTAGTAAAGTCCTAATGCTGCATTTGTGATGGTGGAATGTGAATTAGCACAGGATTGCGGCTTCAGTGGAAGCTCAATAGAATGAGACTGTGGGCTGTGAAGGAGTCCCCAGATACAGGTTCCAGGATTGGGACTTCAATTTGACCAGGGATGGTCTCTCATGTTTCCCTGCCTTGTGCTCTGATAAGCAGAGGAGCTTTAGAGGGATACATACCTGGCTTTATGGATGTGGGGAATGTCAGCTTGACACATGAGAATTGCTCTGAAGGACAAATGTTTCAACATCAGTAGGGACTGTAGTTTGTACCTCCATCTCACATAACAAGGCAAGAGATCTGATTCTTTTTAAATAGTTTCTGGAAAATAACTTTGCTTACTAATGAATGGTACAGTGATAATGAATGTCATCTGTTCTCCAGATATTCCTCTGTTGCCTCATGTCCAAAAGTATCTAAACTCAGTTCAGTACATAGAAGAACTGCAGAAGTTTGTAGAAGATGACAATTACAAGTAAGTATGAAACGCTAGAACTGACTAACTCATTACAAAATAGTTTTAATAACACAAAGTCTGTCATTTTTAAGATTGCACTTGTATTGGGGGATTATGCATCTCAGATGCACTAGTTGCAGGTAGTGAGGTTACAGGAGGTTCCTATGTTCAAGACAATTTCCAGCATGCTGGATGGCATCAATCCTTCCTCTTCTATGCCTGACTGCATCAAGCCTCAGCTTTCAGGTCTATTTGGCCTGTTGATTTGATCTGCAGACCTCTTTGAGTGTTCACTAATGAAGACTCTGTACTTCTGGCTCACATGTAACACTGTTCAGTCAGTAAGATGGATCCCATGACTGGAGATAGTTTGTCATTTTTTTTGTCAGAACAAAGTCATCTGTGTGTCCAGTCCTAATTTCTTACCAAGGGTGACTAAAGACTTTCACTTTCATATAGATTTCACTTTCATTTTATGTTTTTCTCTTTGATTAGGTTATACAGTGTGAGTAAAATGTCAACATTTGATTTTTGGGAGGCAAGATATCATCTATCCCAGCCCATTCCTTCCCCAAGCATACCACGCCAAACAGAACTTTCTACCTCCTTAATTAAAAGATTATTACTGTATTAAGTGATTTGGCGTCCAGCAAAACTGAGGGTTGGAAATTTCTGGCAAGAGACATGAACAAACCCTGAGGATTGGAAAAATTCTAAAGCAAATCTCTTGCATATGAAGAAAGTTTTTGTTCAGTGGCTGATCTACTTGAGGAGGTTCCCCACCCATGGCCACCCTGCAAGTTTGTCACCTGAGTTGTGTTGAATTGGTTGCTTGTGTAGCTCCATTCGAATGGTGAGAGGGGTGCTCATGCTAGAGGAACAAATACACTTTAGCATTTAGTAGCCCTAACTTGGGTTTACTAAAAAGCAGCAAATGCAGACCCTTCAGTTTATGTTGAACAGTTAAGGAGGGCTCAGACACTTGGCTTCCCTTCACATGTTACAGTCTCTAAGACTTGTAAATTGATCTCCGCATGTCTGTATGTGAGCATCCAGCTTTACCTTTTTGCTGAAATGTCCTGTAGGCTGAATTTGAAAGTATTGCTTGCTTATCACTGAGAGTAAAGCTCTGTGGTCAAACATTTGAAGGGGGGGAAAAAAACCAAACAAAACAACAACAAAAAAGCCCAACCCAACTAGGTAGGACTCACTACTAGTGGGAGTTTTATTGGTGAAGGAGCTACAGTCTCTTCATCCTGTACAACCCACGTTTTGATGGCTGGGAAAAGAATGGAGACAATTGCACATAATGCAGAGACATGGCTGCTATTCAGAAATTTACATTGTGGGTTTTGTACATCTCCAAACTTAATTTTTTATGGGGAAGGGGTGTATTTTGAACTATTCTTTACTATAAATGACTGTTACACTTTTTAATCCTCTAAGGTGTCTGCAAAAAGGCTGAAGTTAGAGAACAGCCGTTGTGACTTGAATACAAGTTTTTCTTCCTAAAGGATTTTATTTTATTTAAAAAAAATAAATTTTAAAGTTGCAATACATCATTGCTAGAATATCTGGGAATGGGAGGGATTTGAGCTGTCAAACTTCAACCTTTTTGTCTCCAAAATTAAGTAGATGCTTTTCCAACCCTGCTAATTGCAAAGATTCTAGTTTTTCAAACTGTGTGCATAAGATATGTTTGATCTTCTTGGAGTTCTCTGCTCCTGGAGTCTGACCTCTTTGTGGTACTGTTGGAAATGGCATTAAAAAGTGCCTGCTACAGAAAGAAGCTTGAATTATGGATGCAGTCAAGTTGATAATGTATTTTCCAAAACACAAAAGATGGATTTTAGCTTTTAGACCAGTAAAGACAAAAGTCTTGGCCCGGCACACTGATGTGCTTTATAAACAAAGTTAAAATATGAAGTGTAGTAAGTATAAATATTTTAGCCGAGATGGGGGGCAGTTGTGTACTCTTCATTCTTCCCAGGTTTTATGCTGGATTAGTGGTATTGTCACTGAGTTTCGTGTATGTGCTAGCAGTCCCCAGGGCTGTGTAGGTCCTGGCTTATCCCAAGCAATGGCCTCTTCCCCGGCTCCTTCCACAGTGTGACTTTGCCGCAGCTTGTTAACAGCTCACATTGAGCTTTTGCTGTCACTGAGGGTAAAGATGGCAGCTGGTGGCTGTTTGGCTGCTTGTGGCCAGCTGTGCCAGCTGTATCAAGTTCCCTGATGCAGAAGAGGTTCCAGGGCTGTGCTGTAGCCAAGATATTGCTGTTGAGTCTGGTCCTCCTTCAGCATGCTATTGCAGACCTGTCCTGGTCTATATGAACCAAAGCAATAGACTCATTTACTACACCGTGCTCCAGCATGGCATTTTTTGAATCCTGGGTCCTGTTGCAGTAGTCAGGTTTTTTCCACCCAAAAAAACTTAAAAACAATGTTTGGAAATAGTGTGTGCTAAAGATAACTATGCACAGTTTGTATTAACTTTGTAGTGTTTCTTGTAATTTTAGAAACAGGCAGCTTTCAATGGCTAATTAAAAAAAAAAATTCAAAAACTTGCTGTTACATGTTTCTGTTTCCTGATAAAGTAATTTTTAATGCTTCTTTAATGCAGACTTTCATTAAAGATAGAACCAGGGACCAGCACCCCCCACTCTGCTGCTTCCAGAGAAGATTTAGTAGGTAAATGCTTAATAAATGTGAGAAGACTTGAGGTTGTCAAATGCATTATTTTTGAGTTGTGAACGTGGAAAATATTTGCCTGAGGCTAATAAGAAAGTGTGAAGTATAAACACTGTATATTTGTAATAAAAAGTCTAAAGGTGATTGGTACAGAAATTCTTTCAAGGAATGGAGTCAGTTTTTTAGGTTCTTGTATGTATTGTGGCACTGACTTGTTAGTGTCATTTGGGGTGAAGAGCTCTTAAATATTTATTCTCTGTTGTGTCTAGACAGAAGGGCCTTCATCTAAATTTTAATGGAATAATATGCTTCCAAAAGTGGACATTATTTTTCATCAATGCCAAAAGTGGTTGAAGGCAGGAGTTTCAAAATGTAGAATCAGTGGGACCTGTTTAATGCCAATGTAGCTAATGCAGAAACCTTTAGGACTTACAAAATACTTGTAACTAGATGGTCTATTTGAAATAAGTGTGTTTATTTTTAATCCTGTGCAAAAATCCTGAAGTACCAATTTTTTAAATTACCAGTATGATTATATCAATGAGTTTTATTACAGGCTATCTCTTACAAATTGAGTTTAGGAAGTTTTTTTGCAACTCTTGCACAATTTTCTGAGAAGTAACCCTGGTAGTAATTCTAAAGTTACTCGGGAGTAATGCCTATTTTCTTCCCAGGCTCTGAAGTCGGAGCATCTCCACAAAGTGGACGGAAAAATGTTGCAGCTGAAGGAGCCTTGCTACCAGCAACACCCCCCTCGCCTAGGAACCTGATACCACATGGACATAGGAAATGTCACAGTCTGGGATACAAGTCAGCATTTTATTTAACCTGAAAATCCTAAGCTTTGTGATGTATCATCATTCAATAGAAAAGCTTAACTATTAAAAAGTAGCATGATTTGTACACAATAGTGTACTTAGAGACCAATTTGTGGCAAGAGAGCAAGATCAGAACTATAATAGTAGTATCCCAACCAAAGAGAATTAGTCAAAATAGGAAGGCAGTGCAGCTGGTAGGATGATAAGAATAGCCAATGAGTTAGCCAAAAGAGACTTTTTCTGAATGACAAACCTATCGCTTATAGCAACTCAATGCCATCGTAATTCTTTCAAATTCCAAGTGAAATAATTGCCTTATTGGTATTTTTATAGTGAGACCTCCTTTGTAGACTTTCACATAACTTTGTATAGGAATGCTTCAGGGTTTTTCTCTGTATAGATGTATTTCTAATTAATATCTTGATCGTTATATCATCAATTCTCTTGTCATCTTTTCAAAATGCAAGATTGTAGCTGTTCATCTCTTAACTTACATTATGTAAGTTTACCTTTAATGAGCTAGAATGCAATTCTAAAGTTCAATGATGTGTTATCGTAAGACAGAAATACCTTAGGATATTGAAAGTAGTTTTTAAAGTACTCCCGACTTTCTGTTTGCTCCAAGAGTGCTGTGCAGTTTTAAGACCAGCCATTCCTATAGCTAATACACAATTGCTTATGACTTGAGCCACGGTTTAGTTTGTTATTCAGAACATGCTGCATGCAATCCTTCTGGATGTTAAAGCAACAACTTTTGAAATGTATCAAAGATAGTGTTGTAATGATGTTATCCTTGTTGATTTCTAGTTTCATACACAAAATGAATACAGCTGAATTTAAAAGCGCAACATTCCCCAACGCAGGACCAAGGCACCTACTGGATGACAGCGTCATGGAGCCTCATGTCCCCTCCCGAGGACAGGCAGAAAGCTCCACCCTTTCTAGTGGAATTTCAATAGGTAGGAACTGTAAACATACCCATACATGGTCTTTTAATAAAGATTTTAGCATGATTAGTTGGTGATTGTTCAAACAGTTGATTACTGTTCAAAAATCAATTCTATTTTATAACAAATTGGAGAAATGTAGCTGGAGAAGGGCAGCATAGTTTATACAGCATGAATTGACTAAATCATAAAAAAGCAGATTTGTTTTTTTAGACCACTTTAATGATATAACCTCTGGTACTCCTCCTCTTTATTGATGGGGTTGGAGGGAAATGCAGGGCACTATTTCCATTACCTTTTTTTCCCCCCCTCTAAATCAATCCAAATTAAAAATGTCTTGTGGTAGGCTTTCTATTTAAAATGCCATATCGTATTGACAGGGAGAACTGTAAATTGCTGGCATTCTTTAAGGGCATAATTTTGAAATGCAATTTTGATAGCAATTTAACTTTCAGATACTTCCAAATGTCAGAATCTACTTCATTTTTGCAAGTTATTTATCTTCAAATATTTAGTGTATTCTTGTTTTGAGAACTTCTGCTTCCTGAGTTTCTTATGTGACAGCAGTTGCTCTTTTTTCCTGTTACGCACAGATCCTTAAAGTGGAAGGAGGGCAGGGCAAGTGCCTCTCGGATCCACCTAACTGCAGCCAGGGTTGAGAAATGGAACTGTCATCACAGTCCTTTTTCACAGAATTATTAGCTTGATAGAATTCAATGGTGTTCAGTTTTTATGCATTTATCTATACAAGATTTTTGTAGTGTTATGCATTTCTTTGGATAACTTAATTTAAAAAAAACACAATTTTGCTTTTTAGCCTTCATGGAGAGAAGCGAGATCACACAGTTTCAAATTATGGTGTTTTCAGGAGCTGTTTATGTATTTTTTTGAGGAGAAGGCCATATTCTGAGCAAACATTAAACATTTTTCATGCTGAAAAAGTCAGATAGAGGCAATAATTTAAAAAAAAAATACATTGAAAAGTAAATCCATGAAACTAACTTAGGCCAAAGTAATTTGAACCTGTTCACATCAGGCAGCTTCCACTACTAAATGTAGAAGTCTCTGTTTTCTCTAGGTTCTCTGCTCTGGCCATTTCAGTTTCATCCGGCAGGAATGGCACTTCTCCTCAGCATACAGACAGCTTGCATTCTCAGGGACTGCACAGTACAGGAGATTAAAGCTCCTCATGCATCAGCTACTCTCCAAGTGCAGTCCTCCCAGCATTGTGCTGGATTTATGAGAGAAAAAACAGACTTTTGTCACCTTTGTTGAGATGTAGTTTTGCCCTTTTCTCAGTGCAGTTTTTTACTGATGTTTTCTGTCTAAACATCAAAGAAGCTTTTCTGCAGCTGGTCCGTTTTCCAGGGTAAATTATTTACCTCCATTAGAGCCTAGCAGGGAGAGTTTGCCAGAGCTGACAGGGAGTTTATCATGGGATGCAACTAAGAACCAGTCACCATCTAGACACTTTGGAAAATACTGAGTTTTCCTAGTTTATCTCATCTTTGAATTTTTCAACTCTGTTCTCTTGCTCAGCTCAGGCATGACCTTATCAACTTGATATAGTCACCTTTACAAGTTGGAACAAAATTGCCACTTCAGAAGACTTATAAATCACTTGTAAACCAGCAACCTTCTGCATTTTGTGTAAGATCAGCATGTGTGGTTAAAGTTCCCCTTTCTTTCTCTTCCACTTCCAGCCTCCCCATACTTCGATACTTTAGTTTTATCACTGTTTTGACAACCTAGCATCATTGTTATTTTTGCTGCTGCTTGATTATGAAAATTTTAATGACAGAAAAGATTAGTAGAAGTGATAGAAATACATATGGAGGAAGAGAGTAAGTTCTGGAGTCTTGCAGTATCTACTACTGAAGAATTCTTGGAAATGTAAGTTGTCCGGCATTCTGTACTGCTGCTTCAGCAGGATTTAAGGAAGTTGATTGAAGCTGCTAAGTTCCTCCATCATGTTTGAAGTACTCTATTTACTCAGTACTTGGAAACAGTACAGTCACTGCAACAGAGAGGAGGTTTACAGTATTCTACAACACGACTTCAAAAGGCAGTCAAGAAAACGTCTTCTGAATGTGTGTACTGAAGAGTGTTATTCCTCACCTTGCCCATAAATGTGGATTTAAACCTGTTACTCTAGAAACAGAACTACCTTTTCTTAGATGTAAGCCTATGTAGGGCTTAACTTTTTGCATAAATGATCCCTCTTCAAAACATGGACAATGTTTCTGATATGCCAGCAGCTTGAATCTAACCTTAAAGATGACTACAGAATCACAGAATGTTGGGGATTGG